AGAATATCATTCTGTTATTTCAGATAGATAGAAAGATAGGTAGATAGATTGTAACAGAGATAGATAGATAGATAGATAGATAGATAGATAGATAGATAGATAGATCGTAACAGACATTATATATATATATATATATATATATATATATATATATATATATATATATATGTTTGTTACGATCTAATGTCTTTGATAGAATATTATTCTGTTATTTCAGATAGATAGATAGATAGATAGATAGATAGATAGATAGATAGATAGATTGTAAGAGACATAGATCGTAACAGACATAGATAGATAGATAGATAGATAGATAGATAGATATTAACAGACATTATGTATATATATAATGTCTGTTACTATCTAATATCGTTGATAGAATATCCTTCTGTTATTTCAGATAGATAGAAAGATAGGTAGATAGATTGTAACAGAGATAGATAGATAGATAGATAGATAGATAGATAGATAGATAGATAGATAGATAGATAGATAGATCGTAACAAACATTTAGAGTTACAAGGTTGAATTCCCTAAATCCCTTGTAACCCAAATCAACTGGGTGATGAACACCAGTTCCCAATCATAGGCATTTCTTTACAGTTTCTGAAACGATATAATGGTGAAACGCAATCAAAACAATATAAGATACAAAAATAACACTCTGTTGGTGGCAGACAGAGAAGAAAAACTACAGAACCTTCTCGACAAGATAGTAAAGGAAAGCGGGAAGAAAGGACTAACTGTCAATTGTAAGAATACATTGTCTATAATTGTCAGCAAGAGAAAAAGCCCAAGATGCGAACTACGATTTGTAATTGTCAATAAATTATGAGTAGAGCAGTTTAAATATCTGGGAAGTGTTTGAAGAGAGGAGGAAAACTGTGACACTGAGATCCGAAGATGCATTGGGATAGCAAAAGATGTTTTCCAAAAGTTAAACAAAGTATTAAGAAACAGGAAAAATTCATTAGAAACAAAGAAGAGTGATGAACTGCTATGTAATATCAATTTTCCTATTTGACAGTTTATACGGGACAATTTCTCCACAGAAGAAGAAGAGACTTGAGACAAAAGAGATGTGGTTCTCCAGAAAGATACTGAGAATACCATTAACGGAGCGCGTAAGCAACGCGGAAGTTCGTTTTTACGAAAATGGAAACGAAAAGGACGCCTATACTCAGATTCAGAAAGAGATAGCGGAAATTTCTAAGAAACATAATGAAGGAGGTGGACTTGGAGAATTTGATACTCACAGGACATGTAGACGTCCAGGGTAGTAGCTATCTAATGAGTTTGTATGAATGGATGGCGGAACGGGGGAGGGAATTATGGCAAAAAAAGAAACGTTACTTAGAGCTACAAAAGTAGGATGTTGTGGCGAGCCATGATCAGCCACGTCCTGATGAGACACAACACAAAGGAGAAGATAATGGAGCTGATCGTCACTTTCCAGAAGGAAATGGTCAAGATCTAGTCTAATCACGTTACTCCGGAGACACATATATTGATTTCATGACTTGCAAACATCCATCATCAGCGACATTCGTCCTTATCGAAAACATTCAAAGTTCAGCAGTTATCTAAGAAATTAATAACAATTCTGTTTTGAGCTATAATGCCCGTAAACTTTATACCAGGTGTCCAAAAAGTTATGATCATCAGATATTATGAAACATTGGAGAAACGAAAGGAAAATGCGTAAGGATGTTTTCCTGACCCAAACTAATGCCTTCCCACATACAACCAAAGAGTCGCTGTAGTGATTTTCCAAGCGTATCTTAGATGTGGCACAAAGCCAAAATTAGGGGGCACCCAGTGAGGATCGAACTCACTACTCAGTCGTAATTGCTCTAGCGAGCCAAGCTTGCTAACCATTACACCGCCTCGAGGTACCCGAGTCACTATAATATATTAACGTATCTTCCGTAGTGTCGGAACTTGGTTTCTTGAGATTATCATCTGTTTGGGATCCTCAATCAGTATTCATCTGGCAAGCGTTTCCACACAAATGACGTTGTCGCTTTGCACCATATAAGGGTATTTACTTCTGTCGAAGGGGTCGACATTTTTTTTTTTTTTTTGACCCTCCACAAACTTATCAAGACAACCCGGTTTCATACTTTCGTAATTTTTTTCAATAAATGGTTTTCCGATACACACTTTTATGAACAGTCTCGTTTTATTGTATATTAAGAAAATGTTCTCTCCCACCAATAATTAAGTGTTTTTATTATGCACCTAAGTATGTACTTGTGCAATGAGACGGCAACTGTATAGTAAGTACGTGTAAAATTCTTCTAATAGTGCTGGTAACAGATGACGCTGTTGTTGCACGTTTACAAGCGTGGCTCTCGTCGTTTGACGCCTGAGAAGAGTATTTGAAGGGGTCGACATTTATTTTATTTTATTATTATTTTTTTTGGGGGGGGGGTAAGAGGTACCGACCCTCCGTATCTTATCAAGGCCATCAAGTTTATTAGTTTCGCAGGGATCTTTTCTGTTAATTCACACCAAATAATCTAAAGTTGCTTTTCGCAAATATTATTTCACTATATAGACGTTATAAATTTTAAATCAAAGTTTGTTTTTTAATAAATTTTTGCACTCTTTTGAAATTTTAAATGAAAATTTTTTTACCTTGCCTCACAACAACTCCAACCCTCAGAATGAAAAAATTACCAAAAATCAAGGAGTTATTCAGTAAGTGCGGATGTTATCCGAGGTACTTACAAGTAATTTTTTTCTAGAATTTCTGAAAAAAAAATGTTTGTGAGCGCGTACGTATACCCGATACTTAGAAATAACATACCCGAGTCGCCCACATTTGGGGTGATCGCAAAGGTCAACCCAACCGGAGTGCAATGAAAGGTCCTCGCTCTGGGGGAATTTGGTATCAATTTTAGTAAATATAAATTCTCTTTATTTTGGGGAGAATTAACAGAAAAGATCCGTTTCGCACTTTTTAACACCAAAGGATTTTCCGACCCCACTTTTCTAAACAGCCCGGTTTGTTGCATATAATCCCCATCACACACACACACATTAAGATATTCTTCTTTTATTATGCATTTAAGGGTATGTACTTATGCAACAACAGGGTAACTGTATAGCACCTGCGTATAAAAATATCCTAATATTGCTGGTAATATATGCACAACGTTTTATTTGTATAGTGATATGTTAGATCAGTAAACATTAGTAACTTACCTTTCGGGCATCTCTTATCTACCCTACTTCGGTACCTGTCACTTCCCTTACGGCAAGACGATCAAATTTCAAATCTAAATTGTTTGGCCATTTATTTAAACTACAGGGTGGTCCGAAAATCTTTTCACTCTCTACCGAAAAGTAACGAGAACAATAGAAGAACAAGTAATACAGTAATACAGTAATACAGTAATACAAAGCACATGTCTTTGGATTCAGTTTATTCATTTTCATTGACGCTGTCACACACGTCTGTATGAACACCATCATTTTTGTGTCAGCCATCTGAAATAGAAAATTATATTATGTAAGGGTGACAAGACTTTCGGACCACCCTGTACTATATTTAAAAGAAAATATATTCATTTTAAACGCACAAGTAGTCATTTAAATTGACTTCAAAAGGCTGGCTTGTACTCTTTGCCTGTTATCCAGAGGTTGTTGCCAAACAGAAAGGGAAATTAGTTCTAACGATGCAGATTTCAATTTCATTCAAATTGTGAGTCCATGTACGTTTGCCAGTGCGTATGTATATCTTCATCCAGTGACAGACGTAAAAATCTGTCTATATTTCTGAGATCAGATATTGTAATTACTTACGTTGTTCAGACTGTGGTCCTGATCTTTGTTTTCAACGCTTTTATCATTTTTCTTAAGGACACATGGCCCAGTGAATAAACGCGTTGGTTGGATTCAGTGACTTAACTCAAGAGATGTGAGTTCAGTACCTGGCTACGGCAGTGGTGAGAATAAACTTGGAGAGTTAAGTTAAAGGGAGATAACTAAGACACCAGGAAGAGGCATGGCACGTGAAATTAGAACAATCTACCCGGTGGACGAAATAAAGGGTTCAGTTCAAAATTCCAATCACCTGAAGAAGGCCGGAGTGTACAACGGTCGAAACGTCGTAAAAATGGCAATAGAGATGAGGACAACAGTTCGAACAATGTAAATAAGACGTAAAAATGTTTCTACAATATAGGCAATAAATCAATTAAAAAAATTATGCTTTTTCAGCTTAGAAACAATTCTATTTATTACAGAATAATTAGAGAAAAGTTCAATAAAAATATAATTATGTGACTTTTAGGACTTAAAAAAATCATTTTTTTTTTTTTGTCTCCAAATTTATAGTCTTTTTTTTCTGAATATCAACAATAAAAGAGAAATGAAATAATTTTTTTTTTATTATTTTTAAGTCATTATAAATTTGATCTGGAAACTTCCAGGATTGTAGATAATGTTAGCCTATTTATCAAATTTCTATCTCGACGCCCTGTGTGGCTACAAGTTAAAATTTTGCTACTTCCTTGGACTGAATTCTGCAGCATCCGATTCTCATTAAAAGCTTCAATTACACAGCGTGGTACAAGAGGAAAAGGCATTGCGGCAACAGTGCCTCAGCTCAGCCTTCGGCGCCTGCAGGCTGTCAGCCTCTTAAACTGGTTGAACAAACCAGCTGATGTAATCGGAGCACACCGATAGGCGTCGTAGGTTTTAATTACTACAACTATCCACTCGATTCTTTGTCTATCGTGGGGATGAGGTCATGTATTGAAGTAAAGAGAAAAGTTCATTTCAAAGATAAGGACGAGCTTTCGGCGACACTTCTGTCGGCAATGAATGTTCAAATTTGCAGAAATAGGATTACCATTACATCTGGCACAGACATCAAAGTAATTAAAAAAAGAAACGTGTGAATTCATATTAATAGCTATTACCAAGGCAACGATCAAAGCCTTTCTTCTTTGTAGGTGCTATAAGTGACAATATTTTCGCCATTATGGTTTACGGCTATCTCTCGTTGAAACACCAGTTCCTGTACAATCACCGAAATTAAGCAACATCGAGCCTGGTCAGTACGTAGATGGGTGACCGCTTAGGAATACTAGGTGCTGTAAGTTTGGATGTACGGCTAGTGTAATGGATAACGGCTCGGAATTGTTAATCAGAGAGCTGAGTTCCGATTTCAGTTGAGTTCGTTATATTCACTTACGTGCAAATAAATAGCTTCTTGGGGGATATATGAATCCACCTCTTCTTCCCCCAGCTATGGGTTAAACAATAGGATTTGTATCAGTAAAATCATTATCTTACAAAAAAAAAATCATAAAATCCAAAAGTATTTTCCGGCTTTAAATAACCTACAAAAGATTGATAAGCCGTAAAAATGCAAATCAATCAATTTCGCCATTATTTTATTTTATTTATATTACTCATGGTGGAAAAATCGTTTAGAAATATCTAGACTTCACAGACCAATAATTGAAAATAGCATCGAAGTAATGAAACCAGTAGGTCTTGGCGGGAACCATCCTTCTTCGAACCTTGCGGTCTGGCGATAAAGAATCACAAACAAAGAACCATTTCTGATGACAGAAACCACATCACGAGACGGCTTTCAGCAGTAGCAACAACGAAGCCCAGTGGATAAAGGCGTTGGTTGAAGTAATCCAGTAACTTGACCCAAAGAGTTGTGAGTTCAATACCTGGCCACAACAGAGATGAGCAAAATCTCGGAGAGTTGAGTTACTCAAGGGAAATAAAGGAAACAGCAATATCCAAAAAAAGGCATGCCACGTGGAACTAGAGCAATCTACTTCGGTGGATGAAATAAAGAGTTCAGTTTGAAATTCCAACGTATATCACCTGAAGAATGCCGGAGAATACAACGGTCGAAACGTCGTAAATATGACAGTGAGGACGAGAACAACAGTTTGAACCAGGTAAATAGTGTAAAGAGTTACAATTCCTCATCTCAAAAATATAAAAAGATAATGAAGAGGGATAGCATAACATTCAAATAAAGACAAGAGGTTCTCGATACAATACCTTTTTTTATTCTTATAATAAAACCATTTCTCATTGACAGTGACTTCTTCTTCTTGCCACGTCCATTGACGACATAGACGATCATGGCTCTCAACAACTTTCTTTCCTTTGTGCTTCGTTGCAGTTTTTCTCCCTTTTCTAAAGCTGCATCCCCATTCCGCTATCCATTCACACAAACTCGTCAGCTAAGTGGCTCACTATTTTCCCCTACCTCTCTTCTCTCAATATGCCTCGTGAGTGTTAACTTTTCCAAGCCCTCCTTCCTCATTCTGTGTCCTAGGAATTTTAGCTCTCTTTTCCTGATTCTGAGTAACAACTTTCTGTTGTCATTTTCTTAAAGACTTCCTTCTGACTCACATGCCACGTACATGGAATTCTCAGTATCCTTCTGTATCGAAAAATGACTATCTTGTCGAAAAATGACTATTTCCTTTGTCGAGAAAGTCAAACGTCTCAATGCTGGTTAATCACCATTTTCTCTATGTTAATGCGGAACGACTTTTCCACATTTGTATTACAAAAGTTCTTGGAAGCGACTTAATTGAAAACTAGAGATTGATTAGAGGCCAAAAAATACCAAACTATTTTTTTAATCATTTTAAAACAGATAAAAATAAAACCTCGCATCTAATGAATGACTTTTTGGATACATGAAGAAGAGATTGAAAAGGCAGAGATATGGTCCTACCGACATATGTGAAGAATACAATGAACAGAACATATGGACAACAAAGGAGTTTCAAGGAAATATACGACCTACAAAGAAACTTATACTTACAATCAGAACGAGGCAATTGAAATCCGAAGATGTATAAGGATATCGGGAGATGCTTTTTTGTAGGTGTTATAAGTGACAATATAAGGATAAGGATATTGGTAGATGTTTCCAGAAAAGTAGTAAGAGAGAGTAAAATTTCCTTAGAAACTAAGAAAAGGTTGCTTAACAGTGATGTAATGTCTAATCCTCTCAAGGACAATCAATGTTTGACACTCTTCATATATAAAGAAGAGACGTGAAGCGAAAGAAATGTGGTTCTAGCGACGAATGCCGAGAAAATCGTGGACAGAACATGTGGGCAATGGGGAAGTTTAAGGAAAATAGAAACTACAAGGAAACTAATACATACAATCAAAAAGAGACGGCTGAAATGTCTGGGACGCAGAATGTGGAAAGAAGACCTGGAGAATCTAACACACACAGGACATTCGAAGGTAGCAAATGAGTTAATTTGCGTGAATGAGTGGCAGAGAAAGACAAATGGAAAGGTAAAGAGTTAAATGTTATTTAGAGCAGCAACAAGAAGAGGTTGTGGAGAGCGATGATCGGACATATCCTACATGGTACATAAAATAACATAGCGAATAAACGACGAATCACTGCTTTGTGGGGCCAACTCCCAAGAAGATGTCCCCACGTAGGGCCGATGGAGGGGCAAGCATGATTGGGGGTGCCGGGCAGTACTTTGTGACCTTTGCTACTTTATCAACATTTTTTCTACCTACATTTATGCACGTTAAACTAAGTACAAATGACTATTAAAGGCTGAAAAATATTCGCTGAATTTAATGCCATTCTCTTATTTTGGGATTTTTTGTCCAAATCCGTGAATTTGTTTTGCTCATGCCATTTGTTTTGTTTGAAAAAAAAAGCACTATACAAAATTCGCTAATAATGGTGAATGTGTTAAATTATTCAACTTTTTAACAAGAAAAATCTCAAGTTGATGTTAAAAATTGCCGCAAAATATTGTTGATTTATTTAAGATGAAATGATCTATTATAACATTTCGCTAATTTATTTACATACAATGAATTTATTTTCATTTTTTTCTATTTGAATTGTTCGCCTATATACCTAGAATATTAATAGTATCTGTGAGTATCATAGATTCGTCAGGGGTGCCGGCCCTCTTTCCCGATCATTATAATCTTCTTCAAATCTAGAATCAACCATTATCTTTCCCACATATCCCCATAAACTGTGTCTCTGCTGTAACCCTCTACCCCAAGTGGCTCTTAGGCCTTGTACAAGGTGAACATCATTTTAAAAAATCAATTGATTGTTTGCACAAACAATAAAACAATACAATATCAGTTTCAGCGACAGTTCTAAGATTTCTATAACATTGTGCACCAGATGACTCTGAAAACTGTTATATCTTTTTAATCGTTTAAATCCTGTAGAATGCCATTGTTTTAGTAAATTCTATCAACCTCGAAATTATTTGTTGCAAGCAATTAAATATTAAGAAGTTTGAGATGACGAAAATAGGAAAAGGTCAAAATATATCTTTACACCCTGACGCGATTCCATAATCAAAGTCAAACCAAAGAGTTTTATAGAACAAACACTTTATCAGATGTACTACGGAACCTAATTTAATCAGATTCTAGGCCGTGTCAATGCGGGCAGCCGTCTAGTACGGTTCAGTGGCGACACAAAGCAGCGGAGTACGCTAGTTAACAAACTTCTTGAGGTGCCCTATGTTACATTCATCTCGGAACGACCGGGTCGGTACTTTCGGGTCTGTAACAATTCTACACACTCCTCCACTTACTAATTTTTGACAAAAACAAATTTAACCACCGCTCTAATTACACCCGTACGTTTATTTCTTTTTTGTGGAAAAAAATTTAAATACCCCTGATCCATAATTATTGTTACATTCAATTTCTGAAATACCCTTGCAAATATGACAGCTGTTATGGGACAGAGGTAGTAACAAAGCACAATCCATCATTGTTGTAACTTCTGTCTGCAATTTTATAACTGATCTGAGATGCAAATTCCACTCGAGTATCTTCTTCCCACGACCCTCTGATTTGTGGAACCGACTCCCAAGAGGACGCTTTCCCGGTCGCGATACTCTTAACCTATTGAAGATTAGAGTTAACCATTATCTTCCCCACCTATAAAATATCTTTCTTACTGGGTCCCATGTCTTGTACAGGGGAACTTCTTTGTAAAAAAAAAAAGTTTACAATACCCTCTTTTAGGATTGGCATTAACTACCTTATTGCATCCTTCTTGTCCATCATAAAAAAAATCAGAATATGGGAAAAAAACGTTAACATAAAAACTCGACCCATGTTCTTAAATATGATAAACTAATAAATAATAAGTTAATAAACACTAAATCGTTATAAAATATATATAAGAGATCTGGAAATTGAATATAGAATAGGCTGCATTAGGAGTAGTTTCACCCAATATCGTAAGTTATTACAAAACCAAAACGTTAACCTAAGAACTCGTCATGTTATTAAGTATGATAAGGTAATAGATAATAAGTGAATGAACACTAAATTGTTATAACAAATATATAAGAGATCTGGAAATTGAATATAGAATAGGCTGCATTAGGAGTAGTTTCACCCAATATCGTAAGTTATTACAAAACCAAAACGTTAACCTAAGAACTCGTCATGTTATTAAATATGATAAGGTGATAGATAATAAGTGAATGAACACTAAATTGTTATAACAAATATATAAGCGATCTGGAAATTGAATATAGAATAGGCTGCATTAGGAGTAGTTTCACCCAATATCGCAAGTTGTCACAAGACAAAAACATTACCCTAAAAACTCAAGTCATGTTTTTAGAAAGTCTCGTTAGATCGAGACTTCTACATAAATTGTATCGCATGACACTCGACACGTTAAGAAAAGTCTAAACTGACAACTGTATACAACTGCTTTATCAGATCAACGATTAATGAGAATCGTATTTCTTTGAACTTCTTGGTCAAGCGCAGTAGAGTCACAAACAAAAACTGTACGAAATCACAGAAACCACATGACTTGGTGAGTTTCAACAGCAGCAGCAACAGCTAAAATCGATATCACATGAAAATAACGACATACTCAAGATGTTGACGTTCCACATTACTTCGCACAAGGGGTCAGGAAGGAAGCCCCCATGAAATGTAGAAAAGGCGATAACAGTTAATGGACTTGAGAAACCTATTTGGCAGAAAGTCGTCACTAGAGGGATGGATTGTAGTCATGAATTGAGGCACAATATCTAGAAAGACTGCAACATTTAAACGATCTGTTATTGGTACC